AACCCCCCCCCCCCGACTTCCACAGACGGATTACCAGCCCACCCGACAAGCGGGGCACACGAAGGCCACCGCGGCGAGGGACGTACAGCTTCCCCGGGCGGATGGGCGACTTACACTCAAGGCGTGGCTCCTCAGATGTTCCTGCCGCGTGAAGCGCTTGCCGCAGACTTCACAGGGGTAGGGCCTCTCGCCCGTGTGGGAGCGGATGTGGCGCTTCAAGATGCCCTTCTGCTTCGCTGTGTACGGGCAAAACGGGCATTTGTGCAGCTTGATGGGCACCACAAGGACATCACCTTTGGGGGAAAAATAGCACTTGGGACCATTTCAAAGGGGAAGGCGGCGTCCGAGTTTCAAAGCAGTGGGAATTTTAAGATAGCAGGGCAACGGTTTGGGTCCGGGAAGAGGGAAGAGGATTCCATTGCTCCCCGCTTTCTACGCGAGACACGCTTGATACAAACCTCGCTGTTGCAGCTGGCGCAACGTCGTGAGCAGGCAAAGCGTGGACACCTGGGAAAATGCAATGCCCTTGGCACAATGTGGTGTTTCAGCAGGACTAATATCTGGATCACCGCATACAAAGAATGGCGATGGAATTACAGTAGTGCCTTAAAAATGCAGCCAGGAAAGGGGCAGGAAGGCCATCTTTGGGAGGAGAACAAGCACTGTCAGTCAGGGCTTCCTAAATGGGATACCGGGCTTCAGTTGCTGGAGAGAAAGATGCTGTTTCTGAATGCTCCCCCACTTCAAAGTTAGTGCTTTTGCTTAGGTACCCTAGGGGGGGTTTCTACTTGCAAGTAGTTCATTCAGAAATGCAATTGTCCTCCTCCGCCACATGAAGTATTGAAACCCAATTTACATCCTCCACAGTCTGTTCTACACAGAGGCCAAACGTTATTTGCACAAGGCTGGCATCGGGGCTACAGCTGGGCAGAGGATACAGAAGAGTGCAACGTATCACAGCCTGAGCCTGGTGCTAGAATCAGCAGGCACCACATTTAGAACTGCCACCATCAGCGCTGAAAATAACACAACTGGTGGAAGGTGAACCAGGAGCAAATGCATTTTTAGGCAGCTTCAATAAGAAGCTGAGTTTTCAAATCACAGGAAATTACAGATCTGTGTATTCTGCACAGGTCTATCCTCCCACCCCTGAGCATTGCCTGGTTCTGGGCCCCACCCGTTAAGAAGGTTTCAGACAGGTTTAAAGGAAGGCAGCAGAAAGGGGAGCATAAGCCAAAAGCATTGCAGAGAAATTGGGGAAAGTGGAAAAATAGAGAGCGGGGGGATATGATACCTCAAAAGGAGGAGAAGTGTCAGCCTTACGAGGTAGAGCAGACAGGAAACACAACTAGATAAGCTAATTCTACTTTATTGTAAAGCTACATTGACAGACTCTTGCAAGTCTGAAAGTACATCTCTCCCCACCACCACCCCGGTCTCCTTTACAGCCCAAGAAACTAGGGAGGGTCCCTTCTGAGCCTCTTGCCCCATCCACATTCCTGCTGCAGGATCAGCTGCCTTTTATCTGACCATTCCCTTGGCTGCGTCTCATTGCCCCGTCTCCCAAGGTCATTCCCACCTACCATTACAAGAAGTCAGAAGGAAATTGAGGTTTCTTCTCTCTTATTCCAGAGTTCAGGACATGGAATAACGGACTCAGGTTACAGGAAGATAAATTCTGATTGAATGTTAGAAAAAACTTCATAAGAGGAAGAGCAGATTGATAGTAGAACCCACGGCCAGGAACTGGCCAGAGTCACTTTTTCTGAGATGGACCTGCCCATCTCACAAAAAGTGACTCTGGCCTGCTCCTATTTATAAATAAATAAATTAATTAATTAATGGACTTCCCTTCCCTGGATGGGCTCAAGCAGAGGCTGGGCAGCCATCGGTCGTGAGTGCTGTAATGTGGATTCTGCACTGAGCAAGAGGGTGGACTTGCTGACCTCAAAGGACCCCTTCCAACTCTGGCACTCTCTATTCTGGCTTCCTCCTGGCCAGATTTGTATTATTCCAGTCTGCTGTATGCATAGCCTCAGGCTGAGTCTGTATGCATTTCCAGCCTTTTGGATGAGTTTGTGGACCGCCCCGCAATATTCCACAGCAAGCCATTGGTGGCACATCAGTGACCACAGACAGAAACGGTGGAAAGACACTGCTCCAAATTTCCTGACTGAGCCTTCTCAGGCGATTCTCTGAAGCCTGCTGCGAGCGCTGCTTCTGTTTATGAATGGGTTGGATCCCCGTTCTGTGATGTACAGCGTGTGTCCTTTTTACATGCACAGGGTGCAACCATTTGGGTAGTCCTGTACTTTTAATTCCAGTTTCAAACTAGCCTAATATGAGGGTCCCAGCTCTGCAACCATATCCCCGTGTCCTAATTCGGTGCTTCCCAACCCTGGCAACTTTAAGCTGTGCGGACTTCAACTCCCAGAATTCCCCAGCCATTGTGGGAAACCAAACCAGACTCACCTGAAAGCAGGAGTGAACGAACTTCATGCCTCTGGATAAGGGGGGAAAGGGAAACCAATCTGGCTCAAGGTCCCCCCACCCCTTAACTGCCGTGGCAGGACAATCTCAGGGCTGGGGTTTGACAGAGGGCAGCTCTTCCCCACAACCACGCCCCACCTGTCCCCAGGACTGCTTTTCTCCATGAGGGAGAAGAAGGGTTTGTTTTTTTCCCAGCACAGGGAGGAAAGAGGAGGGAAGCCCCCATCTACCTGCAGAAACAGAGAGGGGGCAAGAAGAGGGAGACCACGCTAGCTGGTCCTTTGGCCCCGAAGGCTCCCCTACCTCAAAACAAAGGATCAGCAGGAGCGCTGGCCACGATTTTCTGAAGCGGATATAGGACAGGGACCGGGAGACCAAGGTATGACTCAATGTCTTGCGTTTAGGACCACTCTGCATCCAGATTTCCATGGTCTTAAAGGCCCCGAACAAGTGGGAATCTAGAAATATCTAAGAACCGCCTGGGACCTGGCTTTGTTATGACAACGCAGGTTGCCAGGGCCATATGCCAGCAGCTTCTGTATCACGCACATGGATATCCCAGCTGGTAAAGCTCAAATCACATTAACATGCAAATTTCCCATCCTTCTCCACCATACCTCTCTCTTTGGTCTTAGGAAAACGAAGGGCACTTCTGTTGATCCAATAGGCTAAATCTTGCAAAGCCACAGAAGAGAAATGCCTTGATCAGGACTAACCTGAATGTTAGGAAGCTGGGAGCAAGCTTTCTTCTCTCCATGTTAAAGCAGGTTACAAGTCCCTTATTATTAATATTTTTTAATCCATTCAATCGTGTCCGATTCTCGGAGACTGCCCAGACAAGTCCCTGCAGTTTTCTTGGCAAGGTTTTTCAGAAGTGATATACCCTGGCCTCCTTCCTAGGGCTGAGGGAGAGCGGCTGGCCCAAGGTCCCCCAGCTGGCTTTGTGCCGAAGGCAGGACTAGAACTCACAGTCTCCCAGTTTCTAGCCTGATGCTTTAACCACAACACCACACTGGCTCTCTTATAAACAAGTCCTTATAACAGCGTGTATATTTAACCTTTCCTGTGTTTATTTCCTTTGGTGTCATTCAAGGCTGTTTCATGTTAAATTCCATAGAACAAATCTTTAAAAGGTACTATTATAAGTCAAACAGTTTCAGTCTTGAAATAAAGAAATTAAGCCACGTTCCAAGTTTACTGCCAGTAGATGGCAACTGAAGCTCAGATGCAAGCACCTCATGGAGCAAAGATACAATTTCTGAAACACGTTTTTCCATCTTTAGTTTTGGAAACTGGTGCTCAGTAACTTTTCTGCCTATGCCAAGAAGTCCCCTATTCTCTCAGGCTGATAAAAATGCTCCCTCTGAGGCAGTGAAAGGAGATTTTCTTAGAAAGAACTGCCAACCCCAACTCTGGTCCATGCTGTGTGGACTAACACATTCAAAAGTAAAAGAGAACGGAAAATATACATGTTCACAGAGCCCTTTCTAGACTAGATTTCCCCCAAAGTCATTCATTTGGTCAGCATTAAAGGAAAAAAAGCCAAACTTCTGTCAAAGCCAATGTTGAAAAACACATCCAATTGCAACTTCTGTAAGTAACAGAATTACAGAAGATGGACATTCCTTCGTCACCAAAAGAATCACTACCACCAGTTTCATCAACAGCTCAGCTAGACTTCACTAGGAGGTTTAACGCTACATCCTATGGATTAAGGAGGGCCCACGGGTTCCTTGCTAAATACATGAATCTACTCTTCAGTGCAAGAACATTTGCAATCTATACAACTATTTTGCTGTACCATCATTTGTACGTTCTGCATTCTCACGGAACAATTGGAAAGCACTTTTAAATCCAAGACTTTTTAAAGTCTTTTTTAAAAACACTTTTAAATCCATAATCAGAGTCTGTGGATCAGGGCAGGTTACAAAAACAGTTGAATGAATGAATGGTTTAATTTTATGACATCCTTAATTCCCCCTTTGTCATAATTATTTACATCTTCGGGAGCGGATGTAGGGAGAAGGAAGCAGGAGGGAGGATCCCAATACTAATACAGTATTAAATACTTATTGAATTCTACACCTTTCCAGAAGCTTCAGACTGCAGAATTAAGGTTCTTTTCTTTGGAAACCCAGCTATTCTGATGCACCTTATTACCTTCAATTCAACACAGGAATGAAACCCTGTGAAACCAGCGAACTTTTCTTATAGAAAACAACCCCACTGCAGAGGGAAAACTTGCATCCACCCATCTCACCTGTGTCCTCTCCGTACCAGTCATTATGAATGTCCATCATGGAACTCATGGGCATGCCTGCATCTTCTGGCCTGCCCTCGAAGCCACGGACGAAAGGATGGACCACCTCGTCTTTCCTTTGGGAGGCGCTGTTGCGCAGCAGGGCTTCGAGAACCTGCTTCATGTGGTAGCTGCTGCATGCCAGGTCCATCGTCTGCCCATTGTGAAGCCCCTCTTCGATCTGCTCAATTGTCAAGGGAGTGGGGTATTGCTGCAACCGCTCCCCAACTTCCACCTCATCTGCATCAAACTCGACCTTCGGTTCAATCCCCTTGGGCGCTGAAGAGTTTGTGTCATCTGGAGACTCGCTGCTCGCAGGGTCCCTGGCCAGGAGTTCCACGTGATGGCAGCTGGTACAGTCCCCGCAGGGAGGGACTTGAGGACAGTCTGGAATGCGCTCCTTTTCCTGCAGAGAGGAAGCGGATGCTGAGCACTGGGACTTGGCACTGTAGGATGTGCCTTCTCTGGCAGAACTGGAGCTCCCGCTGTCCGCCTGGTAAAAGGCAGCTTCTCTCTCTATCTTCCTGCAGATGTCCAACGACGACCGAATGTACGTCTTGCAGAAGTTGACCACGTCAGTCATCTGCAAGTAACTGGCGGCTGACATGACCTCAATCACATTTTCCCCACAAAGATCCAGCTTACCTGAATAAAGGAAGTCCAGGATAATGGAGAAGGCCTCCGAAGTAACAATGTCCAGGGAAGCCGTGCTGTGCCGGCCACTGTCTTGAATGTAGTGGATCAGCAAAGCTCTGAAGTAGCCACTGTTGGCAAAGAGAATGTTCTTGTGGGCCTTGAAAATCCTCCCTTCCACTATGATACTACAGTCACAAAAGAAGTCCCTCTTCCGTTGCTCATTCAGCTCGCTCAAGAGTTTGGTGTAGTAGGACTGCATCTCCATGGCTCTGCAGCTTGCAATGGTCAGGGGGCCCTACCAGGAAGAGGAGGAAAAAACAAGGTCACACAGCTCAGAACGGCTCCGGGGCACAGATGCAAGCTAACCCCACCCCCAACGCGGATCTGAACTTTGGCACCAGCTCTAGGAGCACTTTGGATGCTTCACAGTGCTGTGGATAGAGAAGCTGCAGCTGGGGATCCTATGCCATTAGGAGCCTTTTTTCCCTCTTTCACTTCTGTACTCTATCTAGCCCAGTGTTTCTCAACCTTGGCGACTTTAAGATGTGTGGACTTCAACTCCCAGAATTCCCCAGCCAGCAAAACTGGGA